ACCCTTTTCTCAAACCTGGATAAATTGTGAGTAGGGACCATGCTTAAAAGAATTGTAAAAATGTTTTTTGTAAAAACATTACATAAACAACAGAGGGACTAATTTCTCTCTGACTTTCAGGCTTATTTATAGATTTGGGTGACTCAAACGAGTGGAGCTGCCTCTTTGACTCACATCACTGTCACTGTATTTCCTACAGGGTTGTATCTCCTTCACTCTCCTTTCTCGGCTGAGGTCTCTGGGACGTGGAGAAGCAGGAAGGGTTCCTTGTGAAAGACGCTCACCACATTTCTGCAGGGAGAGCTTTCCCTATCAGCTGTAAAAATCATATGGATTCAGCTGCTGATACTGAGTCATTTAAGAACCCCACTGCATCTGAGCCCAAAAAAGAAGCCCCTCCGCCCCCATTAACACAGATTCCAACTGACATGCCGTGTCTTCCAAAATACCTCTTCACTGCTCTGGTGCCCAAAGACCTCTCATTTTTCTGCCTCTTTTGGGACTAGGATTTATCTGCTGAGTGAAAATATCATTGATATTTTTGTATTTGAGGATTTAAAAAAAAATCTAGTTTGCCTTAATGAGATTAAGGAAGGTACGGTAGTCTCTTTTGAAATGTCTCTTACAGATTCTGTGCACCCAGGGCAGTGTGGTGTAGTGGAAAGACTCAGGCAGTCCGTTTATTAAATGATTGGTATGTAGACTAAAAGATATATACAGTTACTCCTCACTTTTCTTTTCTTTTTTTTTTTTTTTAAGATTTTGTATTTACTTATTTGAGAGAGAGAGAATGAGAGACAGAGAGCATGAGAGGGAGGAGGGTCAGAGGGAGAAGCAGACTCCCCGCCGAGCAGGGAGCCCGATGCAGGACTCGATCCAGGGACTCGATCCCGGGACTCCAGGATCATGACCTGAGCCGAAGGCAGTCGCTCAACCAACTGAGCCACCCAGGCGCCCCCTCCTCACTTTTCAAAAGATCGCATTAGACCGCTTCACTTTTATGAATGACCTACATTAGTACCTGTTTTAGCTAACCAAAGGAAATCTGAAGATTTTCACTTATACCAAAAAAAAAAGAAAGAAAGAAAAGTGAAAATGGCATTCAGCGTTTGTTTTGCAGTGAGTTTTTACAGAGGCAGCATGCACACTGAGCAGTGAGTGTCCCTGCCAAGTTTCTTCCCTGAGATCTACACTAAAATTTAGATAAGATTTATCCTAAAAATTTAGACCTCATATTTATTGAGCCCTTACTATATGCCTGCCACTGTCCTAAGTACTTTAAATGTATCAGCCCATTTGATAAAGACACCAGCTTTAATATGCCAATGCTACTTGCTATTATTAGCTCCATTTTATAGATGGGTACATTGAGGTTCAGAAATCCTCAGAGATGTTAAGTAACTTGCTGCAGGTCACACAATAAAGAGAAGAGCAGCATTTTAAACCCAGGCAGTCTAGCACCAGAAACCAACACTCTTAACTGCTATGGTATAAGGAACGCCTCCATGGTCTGCAAACTCATGATGGATGAGGAGCAAATGAATCAATGTATATAAGAACACTTTTGTGAATTGTAAGACACGATGCACTACTGTTACTTGTAGTGGACGATCAATAAATGGTTTAGCTGAATTGTGTGGTGGCATGAGTACTTATACTTACATTCTAATGATCCTTGATACTTTTCTTTCTTTTTTTTTTAAAGATTTTATTTATTTATTTGAGAGAATGAGAGACAGACAGCACAAGAGGGAAGAGGGCCAGAGGGAGAAGCAGACTCCCCGCTGAGCAGGGAGCCTGATGCGGGGCTCAATCCCAGGACCCTGGGATCATGACCTGAGCCGAAGGCAGTCGCTTAACCAACTGAGCTACCCAGGCGCCCCTCCTTGAAACTTTTCAAAGTGCCTTCACACATTTGATCCCTTGGGATAATAAGCCACTTTTAATCCATTTTGGAACAAAGTTGGCCATAAATACATATGGGACAGCTGAAGTAACAGGCCCAGAGATGTGAAACACCTTGCTTAGAACAGGAAGTTAGTAACCCAGTCAGGACTAGCATGCAAATGGTCTGACTCCTGGCTGATGCCTCTTTAGTTTCGTTTTTGCTTTTTGCTGTTATTATTTGTTGATTGAACATATGAGTCATCAATAATAAACAATACTATAAAAATAATGATTATTTCTCCCAGCCATTCTTTCTTCCTACAAGTTTTGTTCATTCTTTCAGGATGTTGCTGTATAAAAACAAAAATCTCCTGGGGCACCTGGCTGGCTCAGTCAGAAGAGCATGTGACTCTTGATCTCAGGGTAGGGAGTTCCAGCCCCACGTCAGGTGTAGAGTTTTACTAAAATACTAAATAAACTTTAAAATAAATAAAAACAGATCTCCTTTAGCATTTGGATCTGTAAAACTGCATTATCTTATAAGAACTTTTTTTTCCCCAAAAATGTAAGTCTTTTTTTCCCAAAAGGTACAGTATGCTTATTGCAAAAACAAAATGTAATAAAGTAAAAATCCTCTATAATTCCATGATCCAAAGATAACCATCTTCACATTTTAGTTTTGTCCTTCAACTTTTTTCTGTGTACATATACACTTTTTACAGTATTATTATAATGTCATTTTGTAATGTTTTTTCTAATCTGTCATACCATGATAATAAAGATAGAGTTATAGCTTCATTTTTATTGGGAGCATAGCATTCTATTTTATTGATGTGCTGTAATTTATCTGAAACTGAGGATTATGCTTGACTAGATGGGGAGTAAGTCTTCCCAAACTTTAATGGCTAACCACAGAAACCAAAGCTCTTAGGATAACGATGACCATGTTCTATACTGGGTCAATTGCTTTTATTTTTCAGTTGCATTGGAGGAGTTTGGTAAATATAAAGATAAATATAAGTAAAAAGATACATGGAGAGGGTTTACATTTTATAATGTCTGCCATATTCTCTTTAAAGCTCTGCCACTTGGCATGGTACTAGAAAAGCTCCTTCCTCTTTCTTAGGAAGATAGTTTAATTTTTCTTTTGTGGTTTGCAGTGGTAAACACTTAAATTCAACCTCTAAGCAAATTTTTGTGACATTGCAAACAAAATACCTTAACTGCTTTGCAACATGCAAGCTTTTTTTATTTTTTAATTTTTATATCTATTTATTCTTTTTTAAAGATTTTATTTATTTGTCAGAGAGAGAGAGCACAAGCAGGAGGAGTGAGAGGCAGAGGGAGAAGCAGGCACCCTGCCGAGCAAGAATCCAGATGCAGGACTCGATCCTGGGACCCTGGGATCATGACCTGAGCCAAAGGCAGACTCTTAACTGACGGAGCCACCCAGGCATCTTTTTTTTTTTTAAAGGCAAACCAATTTTTTTTTTTTTTAAGATTTTTTATTTTTGAGAGAGAGTAAGAGATCAAGCAAGAACAAGGGGGAGGGTCAGAGGGAGAGGGAGAAGCAGACTCCCTGCTGAGCAGGGAGCCAGATGGGATCATGACCTGAGCCAAAGGCAGACGCTTAACTGACTGAGCTACCCAGGCGCCTCTGCAACCTGCAAACTTCTTACTTTCATAGGAGCCCCAAACTGTTCTTTCTTTCTTTCCTTTTTTTTTTTTAAGATTTTGTTTATTTATTTGAGAGAGAAAGCCTGAGCAGAGGAGCAGAGGGAGAGGGAGAAGCAGGGTCCCGCTGAGCAGGGACCTGGACTCAGGGCTTGATTCCAGGACCCTGAGATCCTGACCTGAGCCAAAGGCAGAAGCTCAACCCAGTGAGCCACCCAGGCACCTCCAGGAAACTGTTCTCTCTTTTTTTTTTTAAAGATTTTATTTATTCATTTGAGACACAGAGACACAGAGACACAGAGAGAGCATGAGCAGTGGGAGAGGGAGAAGCAGACTCTCGGCTGAGCCAGGAGCCCGATGTGGGGCTCGATCCCAGGACCCCGGGATCATGACCCGAGCTGAAGGCAGACGCCTAACCATCTGAGCCACCCAGACGCCCCCCCCAGGAAACTGTTCTTAACATGTGTTCATGCCTAGCTATACTTCAGAGGAATATGTGTTGTGACATCACCATGTTCTAGTTTTATGCTACTACTGACTAGATGCATGATCCAAGGCTGCACTGCACAGTAGTGCTTTGAGGGGTATGAGGCAACTGAATTCCACAAGCATTCTGTTCCTCAGACCATTTGGGCTGATTCTACCTTGAGTGTGGGTGTGGGTGTGGGTGGGTGTGTACTCTTTTCTAATTCAGGAGGTGGCACCATCTAGCAGAACCCCAATGTGGGAGGGAAGGGGGAGGGTCTTTCAGTAAGTAACAGTTTCTGTGAGCCTCAGTCTCTCTCTCTCTCTTTTTTAAGATTTATTTATTTGTCAGAGAAAGAGACAGAGAGAGAGAGAGCACACAGGCAGGGGGGGAACAGCAGGCAGAGGGAGAAGCAGGCTCCCCGCTGAGCAAGGAGCAGATGCGGGACTGGATTCCAGGACCGCAGGATCATGACCTGAGCAGAAGGCAGACGGTTAATGGACTGAGCAACCCAGGCGCCCCTCAGTCTCCTTATTTGTAAAACTAAGTTACTTATGCTTGCCTAGTCTGATTTAGGAGGTTGGTGGGAGGGTCAAATTAGATTACACAAGGAAGATGCTTTTATAAACAATGTGATATCAATACTTAATAATAAAAAATGGCAATTACTATTATCATGCCCCTGGGCTTTGTTTCCAGTCACTTGGTAAGTCCTAGTAGTTCAGGAGTAAAATTGTACAGGTTGACCCCCTCAATTCAGTTTTTAAAAAAATATTTTATTTATTTGAGAGAGAGAGAGGAGAGAGAAAACAGGAGCATTGGGGAAAGGTAGAGGCAGAATCAAACTCCCGGCTGAGCAGGGAGCCCACGCAGGGCTGGATCCCAGGACCCCAGGATCATGCCTGGAAGGCAGACGCTTAACCCACTGAGCCACCCAGGAGCCCCTCTTCAATTCGATTTTTGGAAAAATGTCTTGAAATCCCTGAAAGTGCCTGTCTAAGGAAAAAAGTGCAACCTCCTGTCAATGACAGGTTCTAAACTCAAGATTTACGCTTAGGTCAGTTCTTTTTGGCATCCAGCCAGGTGCTGCGCTTTATTCATTTCAGGACTACTTTACTGCCAATCTACCTGAAGAATTTTAGTTTAGATAGGTCACCTTTCCCTTAAATGGGCCAAGGTATCATGACCCTCTTTACCGTTCACGTGGAAAATATGTGAGTCAGGTGTTAGTAATTATTTATCAAGCCGGGAACTGTCTGAGTAGACTGTCTTTGGCTCAGGTCATTAGTTGATGGAGACACAGCCCACTCTGGAAGGGTTTTAACGCTCACTAGTCCAAATCCTTTGTTTTTACATTATGAGGAAACTGAGGCCCTGAGAGTTTAAATGACTTGTTCAGTGCAGGAGGTTTGAGCGATGGGTTTGGAATCCATTCTTCTGTGTCACTGTCTAATCTAATCTTTAGAATCCGAGACCACTTGGAGCCTGTTCCCGAAGTTAACCTAGAGAGAAAGGTAAGGTCTCAAATACGATAGAAAACAGTTTGGGTATATTTGTGTATTAGGTCCCCGCCCCACCTGCCTCGCCTCGCCCACTTCCTCAGCTACCTTGATAGCCCCGCCCCCTGCAGGTGGACCGCCGCTTCCTGGTAGCCCAGCCTGCTCCTCCCCCGCAAGCGGAACCAATATTGGGAGTCTTCCAGGGTCAGCCGGACCTTTCTCTCTCAGACCCTTCGCAGCGGTGACTCGGCAGCAGCGTCTCACGTCATCAGTGACCGCCCCGGGCCTTGCTACGCTTTGCGTCGCTCTGCTAGGAGCAGTCACCTCCTCCTTGGCAAATAGTCCTCGGCGGGGTCCGAGTTCTTGGATAATAGGAGAAGGGGGTCACAAGAAGTTGCAGCCAGGGAACACGGAATCGACAAGGAGAAGAAGATAGAGACCAAAGTTTCTGCGATACTGTGTGAACTTAGTTAAAAACTCCCTCCTTCCTAAAAGGATCCTTCCGCCTGCAGTAGCGGTGGTGAGGCCGAGGGAGCCGCCATTTTGGATGTTCGGTTCCTGCTGCCACTGCTGCCGCCGCCCCCGGAGCTGCTGGTTTCATTCGAGGTTTCGGGCCGGTGAGTGTCACTCGCAGCGCTAAGAACATATTGCTTCTTTTGCCCCGCGCCTGCCGGGAGCGCTCGGTCGGAGGCTTCCTGTCAATCCCACAGGTCCGGTCCTAGGCTTTGAGGGGTGAGAAGAGAGGACAGAGGCTGGTCCAGGAGGGGCCCGGAGCCCCAGGGGCTGCTCCGACTTCTTGAGGGCCGACCCGAGGCCTCGGACCAGGAGGCTCCGCGCGCGGCTGCGTTCTGTGCTGTGGCGTTGCCCGGCCGGTGCGGGCCTCCTTTGGACCCATTGACTTTCTCGGGCTTCGATCGTCTTTTGAGGGCTCATGCAGGGAGCCGGGGGTTAGCGGGGCGGGGGTTAGCGGGGCGGGTCCCACCCCCGCTTGTTTTCTGTGAGCCACATATCACCGTTCTTGTATCTTGTACTCGGGTCAGGTCTTTCGTAGAACTCTCTTTAACTCTTCCAGTTGCTCAGTTAATCGCTGTCTGCCCTGCAGTGCCGTCCTCTCAGAACCGGACATCGGCCTCGCCTCTCTCTAGCCTTCCAACCAACTTCTTTCCCGATTTTCAGTGTGCCTCCCCCACTCCCTAACTCACCTGCGAGTGCACTGCTTACCCCTCTCTCAAACTCTTGATTTTGCGGACGTCCGTTTCTAATAATTCTGTCGTCTTGATTGTCTGAAAGAGTCGGGACGATTGGTTATGTTTCCCTGTTCGGGTTTGATGAAGGGATCCATGAAGCACTCGCTCAGCGTACACTTTAGCAGTAAATGTTTGTAAAGGTGATTAAATGGCTTTTGGGGAGGGGTAGGGAGGATCCTTTTAGGAAGGAGGGAGTTTTTAACTAACTTCACAGATGTTTTCTCATTTGTGAATTCCCTTCCTGTGCTGAACACTTGGCTTTTTGGTGCGTATTGACACTTACGTATTTGTCTTGGTGTTATATATCCCTGGGCATGAAAATTGCCTGAGAAGGAAGGATCTTAATCCGACATCGGCAGAAAGGGAAGTAACTTTTTTGGCTACTGTAGGGATTAGTTAACAGAAGAGAGGAGTGAAGATTTCTTAGTGATCTTAACTTGCAGGTGTTTTGCGCAGTAATAATCTTTGCTGACTGATCCTAAAAACTACTTAGGTTGACTTCGTGTGTTGGATTTTTTGGGGGTTAGTTGAATTTTGAATATTCACTTCCACTGTTCCCCATAATATTTGTCAGACTGTAACACCTTAACTTTTGGTTTAAAAATACAGACTCTCTAGGTATCTATAATCTCACCACTTTTATGCTGCTGTCAAAGTATGTTTGCAATATAGTAGCTTGAATAAAAAGTATTTCACAGTAATTCACTGATTATTTCCTACATTTCAAGTTAGGCGAGTGTGATTGAATCACCTCTGTTTCATCTCAGCCTGGGTTTTTAAATATGCAAAAGAGAAATAACTTATTTCAGATTACAGCCTAGTGACTGCTGAAATTTAAATTTGTAACTTAATGGACTGGGTGTAGAGGGATGAAGGAGAAAGTGAAAAAAATTTATAACTTGAACTTGGATCAAACCTTTTAATACTTCTAATCCATGTCTAAGTGCATTATTCTTATCATCAGGTAGATAAATTCCTGTACCGGTCATATGATGTCTCAGTAGGAGACTGAATGTTTTCATTGTAAATAGTGTTCTTGTTATTTGTTTTAAAGGGGCTTTTCAAAATTATGTTAGTATTTGTGTATTTACTCCCAAGATAGGGAGTTTTCTCTTTTGGTTAAAGAAACGATCAAACCCCTGGACATCTATGGAATGCTTACTCATTTGCTAAGTATCCCCTTGTTGTTACTGAAATGTTCCATTTCTGAGTTACACTTTTTTAAAACAAGGTTATTGGAAGAGCTATCAGATAGGTATCATTTAACTCCATTCATTTCGTGGTATAATGTATTGGTAGTTAAACGTCATTCTTTCTTAGGTAGTTTGCATTTAATTGGAGAGTGTTCTTTTGCCTTACAAATTACAAGCAAAATACTGTGTAGTGCACTGTTGATCACATACTTCAATGTCTACTGTGTTTAAGGTTGTGGGATTATACTCGAAAGAAACATTACTGTTTAGGAAACTTGAGTTCATTTTCTTTTGGGAGCAGTTGCTTGTTCTTTGATCTGTTTCACTTTTACCGGTTCTAGATTTGAGAGTGAATTTTATTTTATTTTTTCAGTGAACTCTACCCCTAACTTGGGGCTCGAACTCAAAACCCTGAGATCAGGAGTTGAATGGTCTACCAACTGGACCAGCCAGGTGCCCCTTGATAGTGAATTTTAGAGTGAAACTGTAAAGTACAAAAATGGTCAGCAATACCTGATGTTTCACACCCCTATTTATTTTAAAAAGTAGTCTTGAAATTAGTGATGTACAAAAACAAAAGTCTAAGTTTTTTGTGATTTATTTATTTGAGAGAGAGAATGAGAGAGCGTGCACAGGAGAAAAAGCTTGGGAGCAGGTGGGAGGGTCAGAGGGAGAGAGAGTCTCAAGCAGTCTCTGCACTGAGCGTGGAGCCCCTCTTTGGGCTCGGTTTCACCACCCTGAGATCACGACCTGAGCTAAAACCAAGAGTTGGATCCTCAGCTGATTGTGCCACACAGGCGCCGCCAAGTTTTTTGTGATTTATTTTTATTTTTATTTTTTAACGATTTTATTTATTTATTTGAGAGAGAGAGTGAGAGAGCACAAGCAGGGGGAGCAGCAGCAGGAGAGGGAGAAGCCGACTCCCCACAGAGCAGGGAGCCTGATATGGGGCTCTATCTCAGGACCCTGAGATCATGACCTGAGCCGAAGGCAGCCGATTAACTGACTGAGCCACCCAGGTGCCCCCAAGTTTTTTGTGATTTGTAAAAACTCTGTATGTATTGAAAAAGTTGAATAAGTATTTTCCAAAAGATTATTTTTAATTAAAAAAAAATGAATTAGGAAACTACATACCAAAACAGATTTTCGAAATGCTTAATCCCCTTCTTTGCATTTGATAAGGATTTAAAAATTTTGTGTCTAAAGCAGGACTTAATTGATAGCAAAACTTTAAAACTTAGCTTCTGAGAATCTAAAACTATTACTTTACCTTTCTGTAAACTGCAGCTACTTGTTTAGCTAATTTTGGTCCTTAAAGTTCATTCATTCTCAGCTTTATGAATTGTTTTCAGTTCTTGATTTTGACGTCTTCATCCCTTTGTTACCTTTATTCAGTTCATTTCATGCAGGATAAGATTTAAAGTAACAACTAATTTTAAAATTAGGAAAACATAGACTTATCTAAGCTCTCATATTTCTTGGCTTACAGGTTTTTAAAATTGTATTTGTGTCAAAAAGTATTAGGATTTTTCCATTTGCCTTTTTGTATAGAAAATTTTATATCCTTGGGGCGCCTGGGTGGCTCAGTGGTTAAGCGTCTGCCTTCAGCTCAGGTCATGATCCCAGCGTCCTGGGATCGAGCCCCACATCGGGCTCCCTGCTGAGCGGGGAGCCCGCTTCTCCCTCTCCCTTGCTCCCCCTGCTTGTGTTCCTGCTCTCACTATCTCTCTCTCTGTCAAATAAATGAATAAAATCTTTTTTTTTTAATAAAGATTTTTATTTATTTGAGAGAGAGAGAATGAGAGACAGAGAGCATGAGAGGGAAGAGGGCAGAGGGAGAAGCAGACCCCCTGCTGAGCAGGGAGCCCGATGCGGGACTCGATCCCGGGACTCCAGGATCATGACCTGAGCCGAAGGCAGTTGCTTAACCAACTGAGCCACCCAGGCGCCCCTAAATGAATAAAATCTTAAAAAAAAAAAAAAAGAAAATTTTATATCCTTGAAGACATTCTTCTGTCTTGAAAATACATGTAATGTTTGTTTGTTTGTTTTTTCTCCTTCACTGAAGGAGTAACACAAAACACTTAATTTGGCATGATTTGGTTACTAGAACAATCTCTTGTCAAAGTTCGAAGGGCCCAGAAGTGGAAAAAAAAAAACCTCACACTTGACAAACTTGTTGAGTCAGCATTAACTAACACTTTTGTATAAAAAGGGCAAGGTTTAAGGTAAAATGTTTGCAAGGAGAAATGCCTTTTCAATAGGTACTTGGAAGTTTTGTTTTGTTTTTTGGCTTAGATAGTTGGAGAGGGAAAATAAGTTAAAAATGTTGTCAGTGAAAAATAGGTTTCAAAGGAAAAAATCATAGTTTTTTAAAAGGTGATGAAAACATATGTGACCTTTGTACTTTATAAATAACTAAAGACATCTTAAAGGCAAGTAGTTTTTACTCCCTTTCTCTGTTGTTACAGTGCAACAGTCACAGTGTAACCTGATAGGCAGTTGCTTTGCTCACTCCAGCTTTCTTGTGTTTTACTGAGCATCCTGGGCTTCTCAGCTCGTTTGGCCTTGAGGTTAATGTTACGGATTTTTGGGAAGAGCAAATATGAGAAAGACATGATCTTAGATCCTTGGGATTGTAAAATATTTGCACTCCCCTCACAAACCTTTGGGTTAAAAATGAGACTGATATAGAATAGATGATGTACACTATTGCGTTAAAAGATCTAACTTTAGTAAATGGTCATATAGTTGTACAACTCAAAGTAAAAGGAGTTCCATTAGTGTTTTTACAGATGATTTTAGTGAAGCTATTTACTAAACCTCACTATTGGGAAATTATTCTGTTTGAAGCTGAAGAAAAGGAAGGGAAGTTGATTTTTTTTTTTTTAAAGATTTTATTTATTT